CAAATGAACCGGCACAGGCTGATACACCATCCACAGACATAGGGAACCTCTTCTGCATGTTGTAGATAGAGGCAAACAGTTGGAATTCTACTTGTCTGCTCCCTGCAGCCTCTCCAGAACTAATCCAAGATACCACTGGCTGAGTTGGGAGTATAAATGCCTTAAGTCAGCAGACACTTTGAACCTAGAAATGGGTAAATCAGCCAGGGAACTTGGACACTGGCAGGGAAGTGAGGGGATGCAGCAGAGGAACCTGAGCAGTCAGTGAACAGGGACAGGTGAGAGGTCAGAGGACAAAGGAGACACAGGCAGATATTGAAAGAACTGCCTTGTAGATGGGCATGATTCCTTTCTGGGCAGAAAACCACCAAGCTCCTGCCCACAGGCGCATTCCCAGTTCATGAACAAGCCAGTACTTGTCTGCTCCTTGCATCATCTCCTGGTTCCTGAACCAACACAGTCCTTCCAGCGTATGAGGTCTGGGAAAACAAGGTGATGCTTTGATGGGCTTGCTGAGAGCGTCCACGATGAAAGAAAAAGGAAGGACGGAAGACCAAAAGAACCAACAGGGACTTGGGGCATTCAGCAGCCGGCTATTCCCGAAGAGGCAGAGGAGACTTGTGTAGCACAAGACAATGCTGTATCCCAGAGGACACCAAGTACCTCTCTGTTTGAATGATGAAAGCAGAGTTAGGATTACCAAACGTTCCTTAGCACTTCCAGAAAGCAAAGAGTGAATCAATTTAAGGTGAAAGGAAGATGGGGAAAACTTCAGGTCACGCAAGAATAATAATAAAAAAAAACCCAAAAAAAAAAAAAAACCAAAAAAAAAAAAAAAAAAACCAACCCAGGGAATACAAAGCAAATATAATCTTCATTTTACTTTAATTAGTTTGTCCTTGAAAGTTGTTCCAACACACCAATCAGTACAGCTGTGTTCTGCCAGTGACCAGGCCCAACAAGAATGATACAGCCAGCAGGAAGATGAACCAATACACAGACTGTATTGTAAGTAAAAAGGACATTGCATGAATGATTGCCAGGGGTACAAACAAGTCAATCAGCTGGTACATAAATGACACCACCCCCAACGATCCCACAAAAGATGTGACTCGGCCCACAACAGGTGGTACAAACAGTGAACCAAGGCTGCCCACAGTTGGCATGGGAAACAGCCAAACCAGCCAGTTAAACATATAAGAAAAAGGTGCCCACATGGCAACTCTCACCCAATCGGCCTTCGTTCCACAAAGGTCTAAACAGACTGGGGCCCAGCTCCAGGGAGAGTCAGGAGGTCTGCCCTGAACCAGGAAGCTCTGTGCAGTGCACTCCACAGACAGACACTCCTGACTCCCTGCCAGTGGTCCCAGCTTTGATCCCCAAGCAGCCACCTGACCTTTGTCAGCTCAATGCTGGATCCCTGGGGCTCACTTCCCTTATGGCTCTCCCTGCAGGGCCGGCCGCACCCTGGGGGGAAGCTATAAGGCAAACTCACCCCCTCTGTATGAAGGGCTGTGGGAATCACCCATATGTCAACCTTAATTCAGGGCTTGGGGTTCAAACCCCAGCATTTCAAGCTGCTAAGAGTTTTTTCTTCACAGCTGCTAAAGAAACAGGGACCAGGGCAAATGAACATTGTGACACCAAAACTACACACTTGTTTCTTCCTGAGGTTTGCTGTACTCAGCAGGGCTGCTTTAAAAACCAACCACCCAGATGACCTGAGTACCACCCAGCCTCCTGCTGAGCTTCCAGCCAGGATGTACCCTTACTTACAGGCCACTGCACTCAGGGGATCACCACCGTGCGTGTCACCAGAGAGGCCACAGCATGCACTACCCTGACACTGCTCACTAGTGTGGTACTGCAAGGAGGACGCTGGACGTGTGAGGATTCTCACACACCTCTCCGCAGCTCTCGGGGACATCTTCCCAGCTCAGCCAGTGACAGCACACGCAGCCACAGCCCTCAGATCACCATGTGCTGTGAAGGCAGGGAGCAGCACGTTCAGCTCACCACAGGACGCTCACTGGGAGACTGGCTGGATGCTGCCTGACAACACAGTTTGCTTCAATGCGTACATCTCTTGCAAGGTGATTTCCCTTCATATCTGTCTGTGTATTCTGCTGGCCAGAGTGGCTTCCCTGTTTTCATCAAGCAAATGACAAAAAAGGTTTAAACTCCACAAAAGGTGGCTGATATTTAAGTTTTAATAAAAATATATTTTACCTATGTCAGTTTTTCCTTGTATTGACCCAGTCTACAATATATTATTTACATAACGGCTGCAATATCTATTCCAAAACCCACTACACAGCCCTCTCCAGAACTGTTGAGACCTGCCTGTCACCGTGATGGGTAAACAGTGTCACCTTTTCCAAGCCGGATGAAATATAGAGTAGCAGTCAAGTGCACCATCCATCACAATGGCACTAAGTAGGTTTTTGAAGTAGATTTCAGATCACAAATGCTCACATTTTTACTCAACAAATGCTGTTAAGACTGTTACCAGAAAGCACAAATTGGATGGCTCATACGCAATGGCCACATGATGAATGGATGTGACAGGTGGTCAAAGAAAATGAGTCTTGTGACTCTACAAATAACCTTGTCGACATGAAAGCAGAGCTGTAGCTCTGCTGGTAGCCAGCCTGCAAGAGCTTAATGGTTTTATTTGTTTGAACTTTTAGCGAACCAAACATACAAATGAGATACAATGAAGCAGCAGCATCAAAGCAATACTAGCAATTCAACTTGATTATGTGACACAGAAATTTTCCACTAAGGATGTGTCACATTTGAGAGAAAATTATTCAGATTATAAGGAGCTGTTACAAGAATACTTTTCAACAGGAAAATCCTCATGACTTTGCAATCACAACCCACTGCAAGATATTCAAACTATGCAACTTGTAGTTCCACTGCAAGCAATCAAATCACCCTCTGATGCCTGAACCCAGCAACACTCTCCACCTGCTACTCTTTATTTATAGTTTTTCTGCTTCCTTTAGTTTAAATAGTAGAGATTACTGTGTAGGATTTAAAGTCTGGAAGGTTAGATAACTACCAACTTATCTGTAGCCTAAGCAAATAGGGAGATTTCCCTTTTAAGCAAAACTCCAGATCTAAGAACACTTTGGGGAGAGCTCTTGAGGAACAGAACATTTTAGGATTTGTGAGGGTGCTAGATATCTCAAAGAATGGACCGTTAAATCGTGCGCATAGTCATTCTTTGACTCACGCATGGGCTTCACGATTTGCCAAAGCCAAAGTCCAACCCTAGTGATGAGTACAACACAGTGTGTGGGCTCCCCAGTTCCGCAAACTCATATAGAAAACTGTTCTGAAATAGAACTGAAAGTGGTACATGTGTTGCTGGTAATAACATCAATGATTTTCCCCAGAAAATTTGATTTCCTTTAATCTGATGAATTTGTTAGCAACACATTGATTTTCATAAAATGAAATCTTGAAGACCACAACTGTACTTTTATCTCATTACAGTTACTCTTACTAAGTTACAATGAGATAAATAATATTACATATTGAGTTTCTAAGCTATACATGTGAGAGGCAAAACCCATTCATTAGTACTTTTACTTGCCCATCAAAAAGTTAAAGCACACATCATACGTGTTAGGACCTACCCTCGCATCTTTCACGTTAAAGCTTGTTGTTAAGAAGTGAGATGAAGTTGTTGGATTGATAAAGCCCCTGAAGAGAAGCTGTATGGAGACAACTGCCATGAGAAAACAGGAATGTAACATACACAGAAAGAAGAGATGGAGAGAAGTTTCTCTCCAAAAGAAGAGCAAGGACTCCACACTCCTCATCCCTTCAGGAATAAATGTCTTGCACTAAAAAAGTTTCAGTGCTTTCAAGAAAGAGAAGGTGAAGCTTGTGGGCTTCAGGATGAGAAACTTCAGTATCTAGCTTTCCACTAGCCCTCGTATTTTCTACAGTCCAAAATTAAAATATGTATTAATAGTCCATAAAATGGGTGACTTAATATCATCCATCGTTACCCATTTTGACTCATTATGAGATGTTCACAGTGCATTACATGCTATCAATAAACATTATGAGCAAACACTGTCACAAACAAAAGGAAAACACAAAACTGTTGTCTTTCACTGTTAGAAACCCACTAACTGACAGGCCATAAATATAAAAGATAGTCACAAAGTATAAGGGTATTTTGGAAGAGGTATTCTTCAAACCCAAAGCCACTGGAATAATTTTTAAAAGGAGAAAGACAACCGTAAAGCAGTGAAACTGTAATTTTTGTATTTCAGAAATATTTATTGAGATATATACTATCTCAGATAGGAAAGTAAGCAGAAACTATGACCCCTTTGAGCACCCCCAATATATTTGGAAAGCAAATACAGGAAGGTAGCCAGTGAAGACAGTAAGAAGGATAAACCAAGATAATCTGAGATCTTATAACACTTTGCAAGTAACAAATCCCAACAGGCAGCATCTTTTTGCTGACAAAACATCTTAACAAAAGTTGCAGTAAGATAAAACCACAGATCAGTATTTTCAAAAGGCAAGAAAGCAGATGTGTCAACTGAGTTGCCACAGAAGAAAGTATGCGAGAACCACAACCTTAATTCAGCAGCTCCAGGTATTAGCCCAGGACTCCCACTAGTCTCACTGCAGAAAACCTCATCTTACCTTTCCTGCAGGCGTCCCTCAAACCAGTACCACTTACACATCAACAAGAGTAAAAGGTAGCTTTAAATACAGCTTTCAGATTTTTACATCAAGAAAAAGATGCAATTCAGAAACTCAGATACTTTAAAAAAAATAAATCATATGAAGAATTCATGTCTGAATAATTTTTAAGTTTCAATCAAGACTGGCAACATCATATTTTACCCAAATATGTTTAAGGCTGAGCATTTCACTGGATGTACTTTGCCAGTCAAGTTCAATTAAAAGCTTTGCTTTCTAACATTATTTCACCACAAATGAGAGACAAATGGCCATATTACCTCAAGAGTTCCTTTGGCAGAGTAAGCTGCATACGAGTACAGGAGGTCTTGGCTCTGAAGCGTTTTGGGCTCTCTGTTGCACTGCTGTCCACTGGGATAGAAGCACTCACCGCTGCTTTTCAGAGTTACGGTGTTTGAAGAAGAGCCTGGTAGGTCAAGCAAAACAGAGTAATTTGCCAGCCGGACATCTTCAAGGCCTTGGGATGTCCACTGAACCAGAATTTTCATTGCAACATCTACATCATCTTCTGTAGGGGACTGTAACAAATCTCTGGAAAAAAAAAAAAAAACAAGTAAACACAGTTTACTTTATTTCCCACCAAGATAATTGTACCTTAGTTTGCATCAGTCCATAATTCTATTCATAATGGATCATCAAACATGCAAACAAAAAAGAACCACCCAACATAAAATAATTTAAAAATAACAAAATAATTTCTTATCAATTATGACACAAAACCAACCACTTTTTTGGGAAATAAAAATAAGACCAAATATATTTATAGGAAACATTTAACTAAATTAAAGAATCCTACAGAAATTATCACAGTAATTGCTTCAAAGTTCATCTCTCTCGTGCTGACCAAGTTTCTGATATTCCATCAAATTTAACCAACCACTGAGTATGAAGAATACAATCTGAAGCAAAATTTCAGGGACCTCAGGGAGGATACGATGCTGAAAATTAGTAGTCATTATATGTTTGGCTTAAATTCATCAAGTAAAGCAAATTTGATAAATAGCATGGAACTGCTCCCCCAGATATTGAACTAGCTGTCAAAAAGTTTTTCTCAGATGTCCTACCTGCACTGAAAGATCACTTCAGCCAACAGCTTGGCAAGCGTATGACACGAGCCTGGAAATTATTTTGGCGGTATCTACCAGACAGGCCAACTTCAGATGGGTTGGTCTGGGCTTGTATCACTAGATTTGGATCACTGTGCAACACCTGCTACCAGATGGGCCATAGGATGAAAATGGTGATGGCACTGAAGGATCACCCTCCTCCTAGCACATGCCAAAAGATACGAGATGTAGAGAGTATTTTGAAGATAACTTCAGAGGACAAACATGCTGAAGGGACAACTAAAGACTTTCCCTACTTACATAGGCAAGCACTTCTGTAAGCAAAGCAGGGCAGAAATAAAAAGCACCAAGACTGGAATGAAAAGCACTATCCACATGCAGTACAAAAATCTTATTGAATATTTGCTGAATTTTGTGAACATATTTTTTATTATTATTATTGTCTGTGTAGGTCTCGGGACTGAGAAACAAAACTAAGGATCCCAGAGGTATTTATTTCCATGCACAGAGATACTGATACTGCCTGAAACTCTTGTTCACAACTTCCACTTCACAAAAGGGCCATTTATATTTTGATGCTTTAGAGTCCTTAATAGAACTCTGAATTATACATCAAAAGCAACAGTTTAATAACTCATAGTCTTTTTAAACCCACAATTGCAAGGGATGGGTATTTGTGAATCCCACCAAGAGCTCTGCAGGCACCTCTGTGCTATTCAGAACCCAGCCGCGATGCCACAGGCAGGATGCTGCTGGCTGAAGGTACCAGCACTGCTGCCATCAGGGTCCGCACCAAACCCCAGGGTTAAGGCCACCAACAACCTCATGCCAGCAAGCAAACAGAAAGACTCCCTTATCCACCCCAACTAAATTGTCTTGTGGTTCAACAGACCTTTAAATAAAGAACACTTGCTGCCTAGATCATATCAAAACCTCACAAGGGCAATGTGCGAAGTTGTAACACCTATTATAGCCCAAAAAAGGCTCAAAAATGCTACATGACACTCAAAGGTCTGACGTCCATCATCACATTAATGGGTAAATAATTATTCCAACATCCAAAGGACTTTAAAAATACATAAAAAAAACTTTCTTTAAAAAAATATGTTGTACCCCAGGCCACGTTGCAACAGCAAAGTTATTTGTGTCCAAAGTTCAAAAATCTTTATGAGAACACTGAACTTAGTTAAAGTCTTCAGAAATCCTGTCTGGAGGAATAATTGTCTTGCAGATTTAATCTTTTTAAATTATCTAGACTAAGTCTTCAAGCAGTCTACACAAAACAGATGAGTTAATCCAATCTGTAGTATATTAGAAGTTTCCAATTTCATCTCCTGTGCCTGCTAATGTAATGACATAAACCTGGGCAGTGCAGAAATACAGAAAGTTGTTTGATTAACACAATCATTAACAGAATATCTGCACTTCCTTCAGGTGACAGAAGCATTAATAGAATAAATAATTGAAGAAACTTATCTCAGCCCAAGAAGGTTATGGCACATTGCAACAAAAAGTACTTTAAAAGAAAAGGCACTAAGCATTAAAAAGAAGATACAATAAGAAAATTGCTCCCTTAGTAATAGAAGTAAAGTTACTTTCCACTTCATAATTACATAAACATGTCTTTGAAAGTTTTGTGACAACATATCTGATTAAGTTAAAGAAATGAGCACATTCACTATTTACTCCATAATGTCTTTATAGCATTTTAAAATCAAATTTCAATTTATGAGCATACATTATATTACAATAAATCAGCACATATTAAAATGCTTTGATAAATTTTATGAACATCATCAGCAAGAGGTTTGGGTTTTTTTTTCATATTTCTTATGATCACTGACTTACACTTTTCTATAATTCTGCTGACTGCATGGACTTAAAGTCACAGGTAATTTAACTCATTTTTATTACACACTAGTTGGATAACAAGTATAATATGTAAAAATAGTATTTCCTAAACTAAACCAAATCTGCAGAAGTGTAAGGTTTGGCAGTTCATCCTGGAAAAATCCCAACACTTCACATGCACTTCACAGTCCTTCTCTACAAACTGTCAATTAACTTGCTTCCTAGAACTTCCAGGGCACTGGGATTCATAGTAGTAAGATTTAAGCAGTGAAAAGAAAGAGGCCCTCGGCATGATTATGTTTCTCACTTTTGGAAGCAGCTGCATCCCCAGTAGGAATCAACAGCAAAGCAATTGCCAATTTCCATTTACAATACTGCCCTTAATAACATCAGCCAAATTTTTGATTCCCTTACTGACATTAAAAAGATACCTCATTCAGCTGCTTGTTCAGATTTAGTCAATAGGAATAACCACAAAGTTAATAGGTACATCTCAGTTGCTGTAAATCTGCTCAATTTACTGAAGTGGAGCTAACGCAGACTTAAGATTTGGTCTCAGGTTAGAATTGAACTTAATAAATACAGAAGTCTGAAAAACACTGTGCCTTTACTGGATGCTCTCAAAGAGATTTCCACAAATTGCTTGCCTTTATGTTCTAATATAAATCAGGTAGTGAACTAATGTGCTCCAGAACAAGATATACAGTTGTTTTGTGAGTATTCTGCTTCATCTCAAATAGGCTCAGTTCCTGATATGAAAAAAAAAGAAAAAAACACACACACAAAAAAACAAAACAAAACAAACAAAAAAAAAAAAAAAAAAACAACCCAAAAAAAAAAAAAAAAAAAAAAACCCAAAAAAAAAACACCCCTACCATAACAAAACACCAACCGAACAATGACACGCCACCAAAACTGCACTTAAAACTCATGAAGTATGAAGCTCAGCCTGCTTCACTTGAGTAAGGTAAAGTTTTCCCACTTTGATATGATGACAAGATCAAGAATATGTTAATGAAGACAGATTCTTAGTTCTCCTGTGTATACAAGAATTCCAAGTCATAATTTACTGCCTGATTAGCTGAATGTCCTGGAAAGGAAAGAACAGCAGACCATGACTGTTGAAGGTTCAAAGTCTAAAGCAAGCAAAACAATTTGAAATAAACCAAACATCTATAATAAAGCCAGGCTTTCCGTAGCCTCTGCAGCTTCAAAAGACCAGTCTCTAACAGATGACTATAAAAGGTCAATGAAAACACACAAAATACAGAAATTCCATTTTCAAATTGGAAACCATGTTGAACATGGGGCTGCAGAAGCTTCATGGCAAGTCATCTGCTGTAAGGGTATGTTTTTTTCAAGACAGCTTGTGGAAGAAGAGAACAAGGTATTGTGAATAAGCCGGCTGCCCATTGATGGTGATACACAGGGACACTGCTCAAATTATACTGAAAAATTACACTAGGTCACTTTAAGAATCAAAAGATGGAATAACATAACCGTATTACAATTCCTTATCAGAGAATTCTATCAAACTGCTACAAACTCCCTTGTCCCTCCTCTAAACAAATCTAAAACTGCAGTAGGTTTCTACAGATTTAATTTTAAAAGTCTACAGGGACAAAATTTTCCCTCAAATAGAACTTCAAGTGTCGTTGGTTTGTTTTTCTCTAAAGCTTTAATGTCTGTACTGCAATGAGAGTGCAAAATGGCTTAAACATGGCCTATTAAAGCAAATAATCTGCATTCCACTTTTGCAGAGTTAGAATTTTATCTAATTTCCTTATCCCCAAATTTTTACTTTCAATTTTTAGTCTGTTTTCATCTAGTTCACTGAAATTGTTGATAAAGCAATTACTGGGATTTTAGGTAAGAAATAAAAAATACCATTTTGGAATTTTTATGGGACAATTTTTCAGCTGAGCAGCTGCTTTCAAACTTAGAGAGTCACAATGAATTCACCAGGTAACATTTTTTTCAAAGCTACCTAAGATCAAATCTTACCTAATATGCTGCTTCCAGCAGTAGCTGTTAGCAGATCATCATAAAAGAAAGCAAGAAATGCATCATATGGGGTTATTATATTTATAGACTTTCATGCATATGCCTTTCTTCCTACCCATAAACTTGGTCCAGACTGAGTTTTAAAAATGTTTACATATGTTCAGGGTTGCAGAACTCGTTTCAGTCCATTAGGAGTGGAGATGTGGCAGTTCCAGCCGTGCCAGGCGAGTGCACAGCACTGGCACAGACCAACTGCTCAGCATATGCACAAGTAATTTTTGCAGTTGCAAGCGGAGTATTTATTTGTACCCATCACATCTAGTGTGTACCCACAGCAAATAAAACGCATTCAGGAAATACCACCTGCCCAAGCCACATCTGCTTAAATTTTAATTACATGTTACTGTTAATTAGGGTGCTCAACTGGCTGGTCTCCAACCTGCCCGAGCAGATTTCCCGTGGCCTGAACTGACTGCAAGAAATTTGCTGATTTGAAAATAAATTAAAAAAAATCCAAGTCCAAGTGAGTATAAATATTTATCAGGAGGTTAGAATAAGTAAGAGAAACATTCTCATGGTGTAAGCAGTTTACTACATGCAGCTTAGTGC